GTCCGCGCACACGCGCCGCTTTAGTTCGTGTCTTCTAATCTGCCTAGTTACCTTGTGTTCATAGTCAGCCGTGTGTATGCTTCTGGATTCCAACCGGTTCATCGACCTGTTAGATATTCACTGACTGATACCGTGACGATTGATGGTGCCAAAAGCAGGGGTTCTTGCATTGTGCATGGTTGACGAGGTCCTATTGCATTGTGGCACAGTGCCATGAGGATCAGAGAGCGACATTTCCGAACGGAGTGTATCCTTGCAGACTTACCTGACCGAGCACTGAGATAACTTATCCGTTGCGAATCGCAAAAGGCGCTTGATACGCGTTACGATAAATACAATGGAAAAAGGAATAATACCAAGGCATGATTAGTCAAGGTGAGTATTCTCGAACGAACAACAGTCCAGTATGGAAGCACGCCAGCTGTAACTTACGTCAAAGTGATGTCTTTAAGTCCATCGTTAACGAGCTATAGGGAGACGCCAAGTGGTACTACAGTGCTCCCTGTAAAAAAAACTGGGCTATTAAGAAACAGCCGGTGCTCCGGGCACATTTGCAACAGACCATATTCCTCATAATCGCCATTACCCGCACGATCGGCGTTAAGTCCATACACATCACTTAGCTCAGCTTCTGACGTGCTCAGTCGACCTAATTGCTCATTCATATCCTCTTGTAACTACAATGACATCTGAACTGGTAACACTGAGTAGCAGTATGTTCAGTTCTTGATGAAAAGCATCCTTGGCAGTATCAGAACTGCACTATCAGAACTGCATATGCAGAAACCACAAACAAACAGCGTCTAGTGTTAGTTCGGAAAACAAGCTTAGTTTTAGTCGTCAAATGGGTTGTACACAAACTGTTGCTCACGGAATCCAATCAAGCCACGATCACTCCGTCTTAGAGCTGAGAATGATATCCACTTCGGCTTGACCAGTGATTGTCCTACCACTGTCTGCGGATGAGTGTAACCAATACAACACGACAAGTCGGGCGCAGTTAACTTAACAACCACGTGTGAATCATAGCTCCTAATTCGGACACGCAAAACACATCAATACCAAAGGTGTCTAAGGTGCGTGCGAGTGCAGTCTTTTGACTCATTTGCCTTAGAGTGCGAAGGCTAAACGCTGCCAAGGAAACGGGACAGGACAGGGTGACCTTATAAAGTGTTGCTGTCGATAGGCGTCTAGTGGGTGGTGCGGGAAGGTAGCTGCACATGGTTGGACTCCAGTGGTATTGCGACCGCTGTCAGTTAGGCCGTGAATTATGGAGGGAATGTTACTAATGGGGTTGGGATGAGAGTAAGAGAAACAGGTGGAACAGAAAGAATGGAGGCGCCAGCAGTTACAGATTTTCGCTTGTCCGCCCTGCTGTATAAAGCCGACAAGGCGCCGCTTGTTTAGCAGCGTGATGGGTGATGCAGGATATGGTTGAACTTTGAAGAGTTTTCATGTTTGTACGTGGGCTGGGATGCTGTCGGTGCGGCTAGACCTTGGCAAGAGGACTAATAGGATCCTCAACCAAATCCTTTGGTTCAAAAGCCAGCAAGCAAGGCAGCGGATATGGCAGCGATTTAGTTTTACAGAAACGGACGTCATCTCATTTCAAACCCCCGACCTGGATGACCAGGCGACTGTTTGTCTGACCTACAAACGTTGAGCAGCTTCGTAGGAGTAGTCCTCAAGGGGCCTGGGGAACACCACCCAGTATAGCTCAGTGGGTCGACGAGGTAAGCAAACCGTCGAACCACCTTAAGATCCAGTCTCTTTGCGACTGTGCCGTCTTCAACAGACAGACTTTGTGTTAAGTGCGTCAGCAGCCAATTTTAATCTTTCTTAAGAAACGTCCCCTAACAAAGGCCAATGCATCATCGGCTAAGAAGCGCTAATTGGTTAATTCAACTTGTTTGCGTCCAACTATTTTGATGCGTTATTGCCTGCTTCGTCTGGCTTCTATCTCTGAAATACTACGCGAAGCATTTGTGAAGAGGATAGTTGAATAAGCACTGCGGTTTGAAGAAATATGGCTAATCCTCTATTATTCATGAGTTCTTGGGTAGTGAATATCAGGTATAATATGAATGGCTTGTTCGCGTCCTGGAACCTGGTTGATGAATTGACTTGACCATAACACGGAGAGCTAAAGACGAAAGTTTGCAGATCGGCCTCGAATTATTCTCTTTGGGTGGTTTACGATTTCAAGTAATCTACGTTAAAATGCCCAGCGATTAAAATGTGCCTGTTCTCCCTATTCAGCACTCGTCTCAAGGTAACCGCTAACTTGTAGTCTACCTGAGGTATGGAAACACAGGAGCGGTAAACAACTATCAGATGAAAATGTCGTTACCGTTCATCCACCTGCGATACTAAAAGGAATCGCGCATTTCAGTTTCCAACTTCGGTATGGGTTCGCTACAGGAGTACATGGCTACCTTACCAGCTTTGCTAGCTTCATCATTCCGAAAACAACATTCCACTTCAAGCGATGGCGCAGCTTAATTACATTTTCTTGATGGCGATGAGGTCTTAAATTTGTGTGGCATGTCGAAGTCGCAGTTCGGCTAGGTTGCTGGGTACGTCTTAGGCCGTTGTGTGCTCAAGCACCATCTCACCGCGCTCGATACTGCACAACGTAGGGCAACGAAGAGTATCAGACGTTTGACCAGCGCCCCCTACCCACTCAGGCTGAAGACCCTCAAAATATACAGTGGACGTTATCGGCGTCTAAGGGGCGATCTCATAATGGTGTACCTTATCCTGAGAAACCCCAACCACCCATGCCATTCCCTTCTAACACTCAGTCAAAGCACCTCGCTAAGAGGTCACCAGTTTAAGTTAGTCACGCAATACAGCCGCCTGGAATGTCGGCGAAACTATTTCTCCCTTCGAGTGTCGCAGTTTTGGAACGCCCTCCTGGAACACGTAATTAATGCACCCACCCTATCCCTTTTCAAAAAACGCCTTGAGGATACCCTGTCACATTTGCACTACGTGCTATAGCTCATGACCACCAGATGCTGGCACTAATGCACAACAGACAGTGGATAGTGCCATAACCCTACTCGAGAATGAGTCATTCCAAACGCCTTGCACGAAATTTGATAAACGCTACTACTATAGAAACTGGATTTCTGTATCCGATCGACCCAAGATAGCTGCACACGAGTAAGCGTTGTCATTGCTATCTTTTTTATTTTTCTCGCCTATGATGTGAACAATAATTACTCCCCTGTTGCTTTGTGTGCGGACATTCTCATTTCAAACCCCCTTTATACGGCAGTGCAGTTAAATCTGTAAGCGCCTGAACTGATGACTTCATTATCACTTCACTATCTTTTTGTGTCACGCTAAACACCCTACGGGACATGTTAAACACCTGCTTTTTTACCCGTTATAAATCATTGTTCATTGTTCATTGTTCTAATAAACCAGGCGCACGTTTGATGTGGTGGCTTAAGTGAGTGAATTTACGCCGACAGATTTAAGGTCGGTGACTACACGTTTGTGGATCTATTTTTGGCACGGAGTCCTGATATTTCGATAATTCCATCTCATCCAAACATATGCAAGCTGTTTGATGCCCGTGACAGCGATATCATTGGCAACGAATTTGGGCGCATTAGCCTGGGAATCATCATGGCGATTAGACTGTGGACTCCGCGATAATGTTTTTTTTTCTAGTTGAATTGCCAGATGAAAGTAGTTCAACCTGCTATCGTCGTGCTTCAAAAGGCAGCGTGCTGTGAAGTTCATACCAGGTATGCAGAATGTTCAGAGCGATTCGTCAGGATTGAACAACGAGTTTCACTATCCTCGGGCCGCTTGCTTTGTGTGCACCAGAAGTGGCCTGCATTGACATCCACTGATCCCTGACAGTATTGATGGAATCTCGCGGATGTATCCACTTTTCAAGCCCCAGTACTTGGACTTAATCATAACCAGCTGCTGACAGCTCGGTTGCTCCTTGAACCACAGTAAATCCTTCGCGGTTAACCAAATTTCGGTAGTTCGGTACATTTGCTTTTTGTTTGTGTTCATCCCAGGGAACATCTGAGAATATGCATACCTCAGTAAGACCATTCCGGAGACGGTGCTAGTATCCTTCACCGATCCCAGTGTTCTTCGGAAGAGGCGAGGCTCACCGCTGTGAACCGGGTTTGTATGTCTAGTAGCGCGCGTTCTGCACGTGGGTTTAGTCTGCACACCGACCTGTTGACCAACGGAGTTCCAGGGGCTCAGCTCCTTTAGTTGTCTAACTCTTATGAATCACTTTTGGACTCAGAAATGTAGGTGATGGCAGTTTCACATGCTCTTCAGTTTCGTTGGGGATGTAGTGGTCGGCGATGTTGGTGAATTGCCTGATGTGTCTGACAGCAATAGGTTTAATTTAGAAAACGTCCATGTAAGATTAACCTTCGCATACTTTCCGCCACCTCTATCGTTATGTAGATGTGCCTTTAAATCGCTAGAAGCCAGCACTAGTGGTTCACATAGCTTTTATTTTCTAACCATGGGATTTGTTAAACATTTTCATTCTCCCGGTAATAAATTTTTATTCATTGTTTCAGCTAATTAGTCTTTGTTGAGTAATGACTATTTACTCAGTGCAGAAGATTAGTTAGCTATCATGTTATTGTTACCACACTCCCAAAATGAAATACTAGGTTTGGCGACAGGCACATAACGCATATCCCAGTGTGAAACGTACGTCGGGGTAACAAAGATATACCGTTGGATGTCAATGACCCTCTTTCTAACTTTGATTCTCACAGTGCACCACAGTGTATACCCTTTAGGTATTTTGCTATGTTCTAATGCACTTGTGACTTAAAGTAGTTTCATTGCACACACGTCTTCTTCACTCACAGTTTACCAATCTCAGTGCATAGGGAAAAGCATGTGTCCAGTTCCATCGGAGTGGATTTATTCTGTAGTGCGATAGTACGCTCATTGGAACTTTAAACGACTTACCATCGCTTTTCTTCCCACTACATTAGGTGCCTGATGATCAGCAAACTTTACTGTCTCGGGCGCAATTACTGACGAAGAAAGCCATCGGAAGCTCTCCGTTCTCAAACACACGAGAAGTGACCAAAACATTCCGGTTGAAACCTGGTTCGTACGTGTTTATTCCAAGTACCTATGAACCAAATGTTGAGGCCCGCTTCGTTCTGCGCATCTTGTATCAGGTTGCAGTCACCGACATGTGAGTTGCAGTTATGTTGGCGCGTCACTGTCTCAGCACCAAGCTTGTTTTTCCTGGTTCATTTGTAGTAGTTTGATCATTGTCTCATCTGATTGGACGAACTATATCGGCTACAGCTGCATCACTTATCATCGATTCCTTACTTCGTGGGCATGAATTTGGTAGGTTATCTTTCCTCACATGTGTCCGTTATTCTCACTACCTTTCCGCAGGGAACTGGACGATCGCAACGCGTGCAACGAACTGAGTGAGGTAAGACTCTGACCTTAGTTTTGAGTTATTATCTCTGTTAGGTGACCCTTCGGCAGCGAACCGTGGTTTACCGACAGGTTTTCATAGACTGACGTAATGTAGGGATACTTTGTGTGGACTGAATGTCCGATCTGTTTCTCATAACCAATGAGCAGAAAGCTAATTTAAAAACAGTTGGGTCATCCATCTGTGTCACGCAGCTCATTTAGCCCAAAAATCGTTCGTCAGCTCAGTTGCCCCTGCACCGGGGTTAGAATATTTATGGGATTCCGGGAGTGTTTTCACATACACCGCGCCTCTGCGCTCCCTAAAATGCTTTTGACCACTTCCACTGTAACCCCACAAGTGACTAATTTTTCACTGTCATTTGTCATATTTTCAAATCTACGCGTTTTATCAATGCATTATGATTTAATTGGAGGTTAGTGACATCCAACCTGTCAGAAAACAAGCACACGCTCGGAAAAGCACTGTATGACCGTTGCATTCTTTCGGGAATCGACAGCAGTGCATATTCCATCTGTCCCCTGTGGGGCTCGAACCCACAACTCGACTGTTTGCAGTCTGTGGGTGAAAGCAGTGAACTACGTGCGGACAGTAACGACCGTCGTGAATAAGTTAATGGATGTGATGTAGCGCCGCTTACTATCCACTGCTTTGTACGTTACTACCGTGCAGAGGACAGTGTAGTCCCCACACGAAGCGATTAACTTACCAAAATTAAGCGAAATACGGTGTGCCTTGTTACTCACAACCATTTCTCCCTTGGACCTCTGACTGGCTTAAGGCTTGCTGGTTCGTTCCGCGGCAGATGTCGAAACCGCTCATCTGCACTGTTCTAGAGAGCGGTGAAAGGATGGATTTGGATCGATTTCTAAGCGGACACGTCCTAGATTCGCACAGATGGACAGCCACTGCACATCAGGGAAGTATTAGACGGTCAGTTCGTCTTTTCGGGACCTGTCAGTAGTGTACCTACTATGCGCTCTTTAACAAAGTTCGTTGAACATGATTTGTTAATGATTGCACCAGAAATGGACGCATGCACATCGATGGGCACTGCTAACTCGTTGAAGTAATTAGAGAAAGGACCATTTGCTTCCTACCGATTCTCCCATCCAATGCCTCATCATGTAGTGTCAAGCAATTTAAGCCAGCGAATGTTTGATCTGATTACTACCGAGATGAACAGTGAACAATGGTTTTGTACGGATTAAAAAGCACGGCTGGTCAGGTTGGGCTATCGCAAAATGTGGAAAATCACTTAGTAATCTTAATAACAAAAGGACTTCGCATTTGTAATGCAGTGGCTCTACATTTCGCATATTTGCACAACACTAGTAGGTGACAAATAATAAATCCAAGATATTTTCCAAGGAGTAGGGTGGAATAATAGTGCGAAGTAACAAAACGTAAATGACAATGTCACCTAACCGTGCTGTGCCGTTGCAGAATCAACTGATCCGGGCAGAGCTTTCCAGCCGTGACTTACACCCTGTCGCATTCCAGGTGGCTGTACTGTGCTGCTATTGCAAGGAGTGATCTCCAGAATTTGTGTTACTGCTGAGTTGCAGTAAAGAGAGGCACACATGATTTAGATGGTGCAGAATCAAGTAGCAGGTTGCCTCATAATTGAAGATCACCTCCACCAAATACTCCCATACGTTTCAGCTTCTGCTCGTATGGTAGATTGCGCATTCCAAGAAGTTACTTGGAGGCACAATTCTGAGACAGCTCCCGAGCAATGGTATCGTATTTTAGCCATGATCGTCAGGCTTGAATGGCCTATTCGACCTGGAGACGAACATAAGCACCGAACGTTTGTCGGAAAATAGAGATAACTGTCTGTCCAAACGCCCATCTCAACCGTCTGACGAGTTGGTTACCAGCCTTCGATGTCTTTACCGATAGTTTGGAACTAGCACACCCATGTCACGTTCGACGGAAGATCGCTGCAGCAGTTGCGTTCCTAGCTTGTAGCAGTAAGTGCTCTGGTGTTATATTTGTTCACAAATACTTTGAGTAAATTTCGAATTGACCGCTGATGTACTTGATCTAGGTCATCCTGAAGCATGCGCTGGTTGGGATTCACCCAAATCCTGTGCCATGTCTTGGTGTTATCGATGAACAGTAAGAAATTTAAAGTTTCAAAAACAATTGCGGTGCTAGGACTGAAACCTAAGACACACCATAGTCCACTTGTATCGGGTCAGGTAAAGAGCTCCAAACTCTAGCCACTAATTGCTGTTGAAGGAGAAAGTTGGTGAACCAGCTTAAGAAAGGGTCACCGATCCCGTAATATTGAAGCTTGGAAAAGAATATCGGCTGCTCTAGATGATCAAATGTCTTCGAAAAATGCCGCTACTTCACGTCAACGTCCTCGCCAGCGTCATTTGTATGGATCTAACTATTCCGTACGATCAGTAACTTCGTTGTGAGCGGTCCCTTTCGACGGAAGCTGCGTTGCGCGGGAGTTAAAATCTTACAGTTTTCCAGCTAGCACGCCAGCACACCGGCAGTGTTTTATTCCATGAGCTTTGACATTACAGGGAGAAGAGGTACTGTGCGGTAGTTTGTAAGCTCAGTCCTGCTTCTTCCTTTGTAAATGAGAGTGATTATTCCAAAATTCCACATGGCAGGAACCTGGTCCTACCAAATCTGCGCTGGAATGACTGGGTCAAAGGTTCTGGCAGTTGTCTTACTGCTGTTGGACGAATGGTATCAGCTGCAGAGGAGCTGTGGATACGCATCGGCGTCGCCTTCTACAAGGCATTGTACGCCATCAAGCGACCAGTGGCCCCATCATTCAACAATCTACTTGACAAGCTGTTCGAATAATTCCAAATGATTGAAAATCGTTTATCTGAATACCGGCCAGTGTTTCGAAACCCAACGTGTAGGACCAACCCACCATCTTTTGAGCATCATCTTGTGTGAACGCCTAGAGAAGGTTCTAAGCACCGGACAAAGTTTTCCAGTAATCGTTCATCAACCGGCCATAGGACTGGCTATGTATGATAGCTTTCGCGTCACTATCCTCAGATTTGCGCTCAAATGACTACTCAGGCATGGATTGAACTACACTCTACGGGTATTCCGAATATGCACACTGATGTAATTCGCTCTGCGCGTGTTTGGTTGATCACAAGGATAAGCTACGGATGCCCACTTGAACCTATGTGAGTTCATACTGATTACTTGCTCCGCTGAGCTCTGCTACTTTGCCCAACTTGTGGGCTTAGCTCTTGATACTGCCGATTTTCACAAATTTTTGGAGTCAAGACATTCATGGACAATAGTGGTCTGTTTTCACTAGCATAGTCAGGGACGTGGCCACAGTTATGGTGACGCTTATGCAGAGGTTGGTAACGAGTGCTATGACTCCTTGCTTCCTTTAGTCCGCATTTGAATGCGTTTGGCGTTTATCTCGGAATGGTTTTACTATCGACTGCCTTCACCGGGACTATTGACGAGTTACCGTTTCACTCACTGGATCCAATTCACTATTACTCGTTGCTGATCTAACCGGTGGGGGGGAATCATTCTAGCCTCGTTAGTCACAAAGAATTGTTCTATCGCAGGAAGAGCAGCAGCCCAGCTACAATCTTGCGTACATCTCGCAAGCATGCATCCCAAAATTGTGTGTTTGAGATGTAAGTGTTAAAGTTGTTCAACTCTGAGCAAACCGTATCCCCATCTGAATGTCTATCGATTAGAATATTCCGGGTAAATAGTAGATACCGGAGCTTGCGTGGGCTGTGAACGGTGTGCTGCAAGCTACCTACGGTCACTCAATACGGTCAGACGTACTGTGGATGCTGACTGTCATATTAGCGAGTACCACAAGTGAATACTACTAGCCCGGAGTAGGCTTAATATGCCTCCGACATACGTGCAAAGACGCTCAAGCTTATCGGCTGGCATCATTAAAGCCTGTCCCGAGATAGTTGCTACCCTCTGTGTACAAAGTTACATCAGGACACGAGAGGTATGGAGGACGCCTTCCTGATACATAAATCTACTCTTAGTTAAGTTGCCGCCAGCAGTGGAAACATTATATGCTTACATTCATAAAAATGACCGTTACTTTAACACGTGGGACTATGAAGCATTCTTGCTTTGATAAAAATTTTGGTGTTTCTTTAACCTGCAGGATGTAATTGAAGCACTGAAGTTGGAAGACATGGTCCTGGTGAGTGGTATGGTTCAACTGTCCCCTGAGTTTGATTGTCTCGTCCGCATTTGTGCAGGTAGGAACATCCAACGACTCAATACTATCTATATGACGGAAAACATCTACACATAAGTAAAGCGACCACATTCAATACATATGCTAAGTTGACCTCCAAGATTTGCACTAAGGATATTAGCGATTGTATCTCGGCACGAAATGACGTGACCATATTTCATCTTTTGCAGAATGAAGATCAAGAAATCGAAATAAAGTTCAATCAAATGGCTGACAAGGATACCAAAGCTATCAACGCTTTACAGCTTCAAGAGTTACTCAATGGCAGCTCGCTGCAAGGTAGGTGCCTAATCTATGCCACTCTCGTGACGAGTAAAAGCATTACTAAGTCAGATGCAAACGCCAACTTTAGGCGATCGTCTAGAGCTTTTAGTATACGTGATCCCCACTACCATTGCCTACAAAGGGTACGCATGCACCGTAAGCATGGCGAACGACATGTGTTTGACAGACGGGTATAGGTGTCCATTTAATGGACACTATGTTTCTTGAAGCTATGGGCCTACAAAATGCTTCTTTAAACATTTACTATTTCCTAGACATCATAGTAAATGGGATGCCTGTATACAAGCTATGAATTGTTCCAGACAGTTTCTTTCTAACTCGCAAGCATGGACTCATGCTCTCCCGGACATAGTCCATCGAACCCGTGCCAAATCATTCCAAAATGACCACAGCATCATTGTTTTGGTATTTCGAGCTTCTGGCTGCCATATGTAATAATTCCATCATCAAACGAAACACCCAGGGCACGGTAATGCTCACCCTAAAAATTTCACTGCGTGTTTCCAGCTACACGTTTAACCATAATCATTCCTCTTTTATACCTGTTTCATGACCTTCGGGTTCGGTGCATTCAACAGTTATCACTGCAAAAGCTGTCTCTATTACCTGACAACGGATGTATTCTCTTACTGAGACCATAGTACGTTTAAACGTTTCTACGTGTGTTCTTGGGAGTACCCATTCGGACTCCTCTGATACCAAATTCCGTTGCAATCATCAGTCCGCTGTGTTCATAAACCGTCGGTTTCGCTGATAGATGGGCTTGATGGGCTTGATGATCTGCAAGGTGAGTGTAAAATACACTGAAACTGATGGCCACACCGATAAACATGGATTTGTGTTCATGTTGATGAGTGATTACTTCAGAACCTGAAGTGGAATGACTCTCTCTCTCGCTCTCGCAACCTGAGCTGGTATTCTCTATTCGCCAACAGTGCTCAGCATTGACCTTACCGGGAGAAGTATTTCACCAGCATGTTAGTGAGATAACTGCAGATTTCGTTTGGCAGGGTCAACCCGGATTCTCATTCCAGTATTAATTCACACAGTGTGCTTTATAACAAAAACTGTCCAATTAGGGTTTGTGGTGTCTCCCATACACAAGGGTAGCTGATGGATTTTGCTTGCAATTCCTGCTGATCTAGATGGACCTGAACATCAGAAGAGGATTAGACAAGAAATCATATCACTGATTCACCCTAGTCTGTCATGTCCGACAATGAATTCACTTGCAAAGTCGCCCCATCATAAGTACCCGAATGACATATCTATCTGTCCACTGCCGCATAGTGCTTTGAGACTTGTTGACTTAAAACAGTTAGTCTAGGATGCCTGAGTAGTAAGATGGAAGACTGGTAACATGTTGTTGCAGGTCGCACATGTGAGACACTTCACTGAAAGTGTCTTAACAAATGCGTCTTACCTTGTAGTGGAACAACTTTAGACGTATAAACATTATAAACACGACGTTATGAGTTTGTTTTGAAAACCTCGCAAGTCAGCTGAGCTGCTTGAGCTGATTGAGCAAATTCGACCTACTGCCGTGTCGTAACTGTCGGACCACATTTCAGTTTACCGTTAAACTAACTTCTAGCTTTATGTTTCTTACTTGGTATATGAGTAGAATATCACGCATGGTTTTTATCCACTAACTAATCCACCGAGGCATGCGTTCACCGTGTGCCGTCTCTTCTATTCACAGATGTTCCTGGATTTGGAGGTTTCACAAAGGAAGTATGCAGAAGTATGGCAGCAGCATGTGATGTATCCTTTCCGTATTTTTCTTGACCTCTAAGTGACGAGTAATGAAAGTAGCTCGACGTTACTAACTACGCTGACATCGTCAGTCAGAGGAGCCTGCTTTACCCTTGGCTGGTTTCGAAGAACAGTTCTTGCAGCGATAGTTGAAGTAGCCCAGCCGAAGTAGGCACAAAATAACAAAAGCGGCTGTTCTGGTACCACTAGACAGCTGGTGGCAACACAGGAAATCTGAGAACTGTACTAAGTGTCCACGTATTTTTTAAACCCTTAATCTTCGCTCAACCGTTGAGCGATTACCCAAGCATTGATCCACAAGTCAAGGTAATAGCGTATTGTGTGAACCAGAAAAATACTCTAGGTTGCTTGTCGTCACGCTATCCACGCCACTGCTGAGCTACAATGTTATGGCAGGGCAAGGTTCCACAATCTGCTGAGTTTCAGGGAAATTAGTTATAGTGGAATTGCTTGATAATCGTGATCAATGAGCCTCAGTTACCATGCTTGTCGACACCACTGAATGACTTGCTTATCTAAATCAGTGGCAGTTTGCCTGTCATGGAGACTGCGAACGGCCACTGGATGTCCGTGTCTACTCAAGAATGATAGGTGACTTGCACTGCGTCCAGCGTAGCTCTATCTACATATCCTATATCCAGTGAAACATCAACCAAATGAGACTAGCAGAGTTAACTTACACTCCTTCACCATGCATCGCTGCAGCATTCTTGTTTATCTAAATTAAGAATCATGAGTACTAGACGTACACAAGGTGGTGGCCGGGCCATAGCCCGCTCCACACTGGATGGAACCAATCTTTGGAGCCTAGTACGGTCAAGAAGGTCGTGCACCCAATCTTCACAAGCAACGGACAACAGTCTCCTGGGGCAATTATAATCGAAGTGGCTGCTTTCTACAGGTAAGCAGCTTGCAAACATTCAAGCCAACCACAGCCACACTGAGGATATCGAGCAACAAACATATGGAATGCAAGAGAATAAACACACATCCACATGTACAGAACAACTACAGCGATGATGTAGCCCTAGTGCCACATCCACCGCATTAATTTTACCCTGGGTTACTAAGAGGCATCGGAAACAGAATAATTACCAAGCGCTTCGCCGATGCCTAGGTATTCGGCTTATTCGTCGTCTCTTCGATATTGTCTACTTGCGGTCACCCTGATGGCCTACTAAACCGGAGTATCTTAAGCACCCATAACCTCATATGCCACAACACTAGGTACACATCGACGGATCAAGATCCGTCAACGTCTGACGCTTGCGCAGCCGGCGTTTTACATCCCCGGGTGGGAAAAGTTTCCCGTGAGTATAGACAACGGTATACGTGATGTGATCATGTCACTGGCGACAAACCGCTGCTGTTTCTTCCAAACAACAAAGTCAATGTTATTTCGTGCCAAACTCACCATCATCAACATCACGCACAAATTAGGGCAGTGGTTTGCCCTTATTCAATCGTGAAATTTTGCGCAGTTTCAATTAACCCTCTAGGATTTTTACCTCTTTTGATAGAGGAGCTTCCCAGCTTTCACTTATGTTTTAACTCGTCTGATTCCACTAATATTTGTTATAGCTAAAGAGCAAACTATGTTCCCACTGTGAAACCCTCGCAAGGAAGCAACCGTCAACTTTCGCCGGTGCAACTGACCAACCTGCGTAGTACAACAATTATCTGCACAGACGCCTTACGCGCGATCATATGGCTCACGGACGCAATACACGAAGCACGAGGACCCAGTCATCTGACCTTGGCTTGCTCATCGGCGACCAGATACTGGGCGACGACGATGCGCCACGTACCCGCAAGCAGAGTAACGATTATGCGGCAACGACGGTCATAACACAGGTAACCCGAAACGAAATATATTTGGCTAAACAAACCTATGCTAAGGTAGGAAAAGTAGGCTTGACATGTGCAAACTGCATTAGACGGTACCCTACGAAGTGCGTCACAGTCTGGCGCACCAAATCAAAGAAATATACTGCACCCAGCACACTTTGGTTCTGTCCCGAGTGTACAGCTGTTCTATTGGTAAAATGCGTACTAACGTTAACACGAAGTACGACAGCCTAATCGCCGAAATTGAACACCGTTTAACTGCGAAAATTGCGTCACACGAGGCGACAATAGCGCAGCTCATATCTCTTTTATTTCCCCTAATCACTACCTCGAATCCAAGAAAATCGGCCGGTCGTTCGGACGGCCTCGCAGTACTAGATACCTTGGAACCACCAACCAAGCAGTCGTTACGAACGAGAAAACATGCCTAGCCCCACCGCTTACATCCTTTTATAGAATATGTCGAATGATACAAAATCAGTACCACCCACCCTTCCGAATGACCAGTGAAATCCGAAGAGCTCTAAAGACCGATCCACCTATGCAACCGTTGCTGTTCTATTTGGTCAAAGGGTAACCTCAGTAGCCTCACCCGGTACAGCCGCACAACTGGTCAAAGATCATTTGTGACCTGCAGAGATGTCACCAAAGCCCCAAAAATCGTGCCTCCCACATCACCGAAGACCAAGCGGAACTACGGTGCCTTGACACTCATATGCACCAAAGTTCCTGAGTCAAAATTCTTAAGGGGTAAACAGCTGGATCACTTAAAGCAATCTAATTTCCTTTGCGATGGAATCGGAGTTCAAGCCAGGCCGACTAATTTAATGCGCATCACTAGATATCCAACCTCGATTCGTTACAGGGAATCCCGGCTTATGCGAGTAACATCGGGACCAATAGATGATATCGAGACGGTGCTTTTGTCGGTAATACCGCTTGCGGAGTGAAGACGGTGGGATACGCATATTTCCGGATTTTCCATGGAGCGAACGCCAGCAAGACAAAATTAATTCAAACGAGTACTACACCAAGTGAAACAAAAGAGTCCTTTTCGTTCATAGATTGTCCGAGCTACCGGCATCTAGCTACGAAGAAGCCCATGCTCATGATCTGCAAGAATGGCTTTATATCCATGAAGCTCTCTGTGCTGGTGAGGTAATACTTCAGTCCATTACACCGTTACCCGTGTCGCCATCATATAAAGATATTAGCCCGGAGATACTGAAATTACTGGTCCAATCACAACACATGATGCTGCACTTTATCTACCCGTGGAAGATACAACGCAACACAGTTTCTTCGGAACTACAACAGAGGACAACGATTAGAGAACCGCAGTCAATCGCTGTCATCGCGGAAACGACACCAGCCGCGACTCAATATAACCACAACAGCTGTTCAGAAAAGCTTGCACACAGACCCGTAGCTATAGAGAAAGGTACCGCCGAACTACATACCGCAGGTGTAAGTGAGACCAAAATCAGATTGCATTCGTATGGAAATTTTTCAAATCACTCAAAAAACGCTTAGGTGCCGGCCTGTCAACCGTCTGCACAAATTCACATACTTTATCTGCCGCTGGTCAAGATCTTTTGACATAAAAGAAACTTTCCTGTATTTATACTAACGCTCAAGGCATACTGAGCAAAATTTCCGAACTGTGACTGCGTCAAGTATCATCGCTATGACACAGATAGGGTTACGCCCCGATATAATTGACATCGAGATTGCACCTGCCAGGCATGTCCGTTGTTCTGCAAGACCGGCCCAACGTAGGTGGCGGGTTGGCTCTGTACTTCCGCAGTGATCTCCAATGTAAGCCCATGGACGACACGGCCAACATGATATAGTATTCTCTTTGGTGCAGTCTACGTTTATATGATAGCGGTCGTTTACTGCCCTCTATCCTCCACGTCCGAGATGGACTTCCATATGGCATGCGCAATAAGAATTACAATCATTTTCTCATTACTGGCGATTTCATCATCCACGTTCTGGAATCCTGAGCCGCTCCTGGACAGCACTTTAGGGCAGATCTACAAGAGTTTATCTCCAGTCTTTTGCTAGAACCCGAAAAAAGATAAGCCCTCCATACTGGATTGGATATTCACCATCTATGAACTGATGGTCGAGAAGTTAATCGTCTGGGTCCTATTGGGCCGCAGTGATCATATCATACAGTTCCACTCTTCAAATCCATTTGGCATGCAGAATCTCCCGTTTAAATTGCCGACGCAATGAGAACACATATACTCTACGACTAGGTGAACCAATTGGATCTTTATGGCAGACGAGGACCGGCTAGTGCATGGGAACATTTCGTCAGCCAGTTTAACACTCTGGTTGCCGAAGCATCACCGACTAAGAACTTCCACCATTCCTTTTGTGTCTACCGAGCGGTCTCAAAAATGTGTCCTCCTGCGTTATTCGCCTTTAAAACTTCGGATTTATTCTCACCGAGACCTAGGTACTATCATTCGATTTGGCTCCGCATACTCCTACCACTGTTCATGTGGATCTGTCATTCGCGAATCAGCAGCAAACTGTGCTTTTGCAATTGGGAAGTCAACTGTGCTTAAATCTTATCGGAGAATTTATTTTTCCTCTCGGCGCAAAAGAACTCTTGTGGTCTTATTTTAAAGAGTTTTTAAACAGTCACCCGAACATCTTACTACTATTCCTTCTAGTCGCTGTACAAAGGGATAGTTATCAATTTTGTCCGCCCTTGGAACAGCCACAGTATTTTCCATGTCATCTTGCTTTGCCTCAACCCTACGCTGCATGGCTGCATCGCGGCTCGATCGATAGCACGCACGTCGCCAATTTACCCTAAGGAACGTGTGACTCATCTGGACGCCACACGTCTGACCCCCCTGACCTCAAACCAGCGCCGATCGCCACAGAAAGAAAAGTGAAGCGAAGTCATAAACAGCGAGTCACTATCTGACCTCTTGCTGCCCCTGTTGCAGTGTACATCCAGTTACACCATTCCATCTAGTTAGTGCGGAATCGTTACAACATATCGCCACCATCTGCGGTCATTCCTTCTTCGCTGCCCCATTACTGACCGTGACCACATATATCAATAGAATTATTCCATTCTATACAAGTGGTAAGTAGATAAGTGAGAGATCTAGAACCTAGATTCTGAACTCTCCTTTTCTATCTAATCCCTTTTAGAATTGGTGCAACTCACAATGACAAAGTGCACGCCCCAAATGGAAATGTCCCATTCAAAAGTCAATTGTGACCTATGTGTAAAAACCGTTAAGTCTGGTCCAGTTTGCTTTAACTGTCAAAAAGCGTACCATACGAAGTGGTTGGGATGAGTGCACTAGAAACTAGACAATACAGCAGCAAAACCGAAGCATTTTGGTTCTGTCAGGTGTGCAAATCCATCCCTGTTGTTAGTTGTGTAATTTTCCTAATGCAAAAGTGTGAAAAGTTGGCGCAAACAGTTGAGCAACTGGTGAACGCTAGCAACGCATCTGCGAAAGTAAACAAAGCTACACTTGCATATGAACCAACACCTACAAACTGCCCGTTTAGGACGAAGAAGAGGGACAGGAGTCCCAACCCCACCACAGCGTCTCAGTCTTCAACGACCCTTAGCCACATGACTCCACTAGATGAAAAAGTCGTTTGCAACCCACCCGCTTCTACCTTCTCCAACTATGTAATAACTAGTAATTCAGTTGATATACCTGAAACACAAAACTCCAGCAAACCCGCAGTAAAAGAATAACTGGACATCCCAATCAGCGGTTGCTTCTAGGAAAACGCCGTCAAAGACACTTGTGACTCCAGTTACCGGAGAGGGCAAACTGTGCTTCAACATGGATCGCTATCGCCAGTGCGGTACACAAATCCACAAAAAACAAAAGAACCTAGTGCTCTTACGTCGCGAACCACGAGGTGGAATCATGGTGCCTTAAGTCTTGTATGCACTAACGTTCCTGAATCCAAATCCAACACAATAAGGGGTAAACTGATAGACGATCGTAGTCAGTGTGATTCCATCTGTAATGCATGCGCGCTGAATCCACTACGCTGAGACGCATCGCACGACACCCAAACTCCTTACACTATGGTGAGCCTCGACCACTTCGAGTAACAGTACATTCTGCGGAGGAAACGGAATCCATTCTGTTCCCTGCAAATCGACACCACAGAGCATCGGACGGAGTATGTATCTTACCGGATATGTTCAAAAGATATGAACAATCAACAGGGAAGTAAAAAACACGAGCTGAAAACCGTCATTATTCATGGCGTCCGTGAGTCTCAAGCTTCATCTCCTGAGGAATCTCAAGAACATGATCTGGAGCAATGACGATACATTCGTGAGGCGCTGTCTTTAGAAAATGTCATTGCTACCTCACTGACCAGGATTCCCGTGTCACCAAATTACAAAGGGTGTGGTCCTAGGTTGCTGAAGTTGGTCTTACCGTCTGAGCTAACTTTACACACAGTTCTAGAGAACTGGGGTAACTTCCGGAACATGTCGCCAACAGAAATTCGACTAAAAGCAGCAGGTTTATGACCAGAGGCTACTGGTTACTCAATGGCGCTAACCAACTCAGTGGGAACACCCGTAGTTGCAAAGTCCACCACAGGGACTGATCTGACAGCCGTCATAGCATGCGGCAAGACACCGCAGGAGTCGAGTGACCATCAGAATTATCATGAATCCGACTGCGTGGTGCAGAGAGTTATTCCAAGTCATTCTCGCGAGCTGAAGGCTATATTAAAAGTACGAGTAGCAGCCAACCTCAGGAGGGTCGGCTAAGTCTCAAACCTGTTGTCTACATCCACAAACAACCTCCTAACGTACGAATCACTCTCCTGTTTTTATACCAACGCACAACTGCCTTTAAGCAAACTGACAGAGCTTCACCTGCGTCAGGCCTCGCTGTCAAGGGACCTCGTTACGATAACCGAGACCTGGTTGAGTGACGGGATCACTGATGCAGAAATCGCACTACCTGGGATGTCTATTCTACGCAATGATCGACCAAGTAGACGAGGTGGAGTTCTACTTTATTATCGCAGCGAATTACACCTTGATCTCATCGATGACCCAGAGGTTCAGATTGTCGATGCGCTTTGGTGCCGTCTTTACCAAAGCCGTGGAGATGCATGTTTGTTTGGTGTGGTGTATCGCCCCCGCCGACTATTTTGCAAATGGACAATCGCCTAG